TTAGAGTTTAGGGTTGAGGGGTTAGAGGTTAGGGTTTTGGGGGTTAGGGTTTAGGGTTTAGGTAAGCTCCCATAGTCCTAGATCCTAGATCCTAAAACCCCAAAATTCCGAAACTCCAAACGCCCCAAAATTCCCAAGCCTCCAGGTCCTAAACTCCCAAAAATTGCGGTCCCCCCGAAGCCCTGAAGGCTGAGCCCCCACAACTTCGAAAGCTCCCAAGCCAGCCAACCGTTGCCGAAGGTGGAAGCAGCCTTGACGTTGGCCTCCGCCTCAAGTCCTTGCAGTGGCCCGGAGTTGGTACTATCGGGATACGATAGTAATAATAACAATAATGATAGTAATAATAACAATAATAAGAATAATAGTAGTAAGGGTACTATACGGGTTTAGGGATCGGGATTTAGGGCTTTACGTTTCGGGTTTCGGGTTTCGGATTTAGGGTTTAGGGTTTAGGGTTTTGGGGTTTAGGGTTTGGGGTTTAGGGTTTAGGGTGTAGGGACAAGGGTTACAAAAACGGAGAATCAAAGGAGGGTACTTTAAGGGTTAAGGGTTCTACTGAGGGTACTATATGAGGGTTTCAGAGTAGTTGCAATGTCAGGGTTCTATTGCAATATCAGGGTTCTATACGTGTCGAAACAAGAATTATATGGGTTCTGGGGGTCTTAGGGCCACTCTTTGGGTTCGGGGTGAGGGATGCAAGAAGAGTCGTAAGATGCAAGACGGCGCCACATCGGTGGCGGAAATGCCATATCAGTGGAGGGAAGGCTGGAAGAGCTGAAAGAAGGCACGAATGATCAAGAACGATGGCAAGAGTAGCATGGTGCACAAACGCAGCCCCGCAGGAATTATATCAGAGGTTTCGGAAATGCGGGACCCTGAACTAGGGGCGGTCAAAACGAAGGTCCCTGGGAATTCTGAAGCTCCCACATCTCCTGAGAGAGTCCGCAAACCTAGCTCTCAGCGGGGCTGCGCTTTTCCATTTCGGGGTTTAGGGTTTAGGGATTTCGGGTTTGGGAATTCCGGAGATGGGGTCTTGGGGCCCTGGACCTGCCCGCGTCCCTGAGCTCTGAACCCTTCAGAGCCAGAATTAAGGACACTTAGTGCACCCTAAACCCTAAAGCCTAAACCCCTAAACCCTACTACTATTGAGACCTCGTCTGTGGCTTCGTGTCAGAGGCTCTCGAGCTGAAACGGCCCGGCCAGATGCAGCAAATACTGCTGGCCGCGCACCCGGTACGGTTTGACCCACCCTCATCTTCATCCTCATTCTCACCAAACCCTACAGCCGGAGCCCTTTCTGAGACCCTAAACCGTAAACCCTAACCCCCCCCCCCACCCCCTAAACCCTGAACCCTCAACCCTAGCTCTTAGACCCTATACACCTGCCCTGCCCACTCCCATCTCACCCTCACCAGGATTTTGGGCTTCAGGGGCCTGTGGGGTTGGCCGTTGGGATTCTGGACTAAGGGAGGTTTAGGGTTTAGGGTTTTAGGGTTTTAGAGTTTTTCGGGTTTAGGGTTTAGGGTTTCGGGTTCAGGGTTCTAGGGTTTTAGAGTTTTAGGGGTTTAGGGCTTTAGGGTTTCAGGGTTTTAGGGGTTTAGGGTCTGGGTCCAAGCTGCAGGCCGAGAGGCCCGAGAGGCCGCAAGGCCCGGACGGCTTTGTCTTGAGGTTTAGGGGTGTAGGAACCCGGAGAGCCCCACTACCCCTTAAATAAGGAATGTACCTTACATTATAGGGGCCTTAATATTATGATTTAAGGTATAGATTCCTTAATTAAGTTTTTGGGCTCTCTGGGAAGTTTGACAGTTTTTTACAGCCTCTACTCTGGCCCTTGGTGCAGCGTTTCGGGTGTAGGTTTCAGGGCCCGGAAGCCTTATTGGAAACCCTGAAGCCCTAAACCCTAAACCCTGAAGCCTCAACCCTAAAACCCTAACCCTAAACCCTAAACCCCAAGCCCTAACCCTGAACCCTAAAATCTCAACCCCAACAGCCCCATAAGGGTGTTACGAGTTTGGGTGCTAAGGGGCTGAAGGGTTAGGGGGTTCGAGGTCGTATGGTTGGCCTTACTACAGGGGCCTTTCACTTTAACACCTAGAGTAGGCTAGACGGGGTACATGATTTAAGGCATATTCCTTAATTAAGGGGTATTGGGCTCTCTGGGTACTACATTTGATAAGGGGCTCCAATAAGGAATCAATTCTTCAAGAACCCATCTTGTACCTGAAGCCTAAACCCCGAAACCCCTAAACCTCTATGGAGCCCCAAGGAACGGTAGGGTTTAGGGTTTAGGGTTTGGGGGTTTGGGGTTTAGGGTTACCGGGGTCTTGTTAAGGGATTTTAGTTAAGTTGCTACTATAATAGGCATCTATAGTAATTAATGGGGTTTCCTTATTATGGTACCTTAAATTCAATCTGCTAACAAGAACCCAGGCAGCGGAGCCCCCAGGTTACGTTTCCTTTGTGGGGCCTCTCCCAAGGATCACACGATGGACCTGGTCGGGCGGAGGCTCTTCGGTAGTGCTGCCGGGTGCTCAGCATGTGTGTTTTTTGTTAGGGTTTTCATAAAAGGTGTGTAACCCCCAAGCCCTAAACCCTAAACCCCTAAACCCCTGTTGGTTTAAGGAGGCTGTCGCTGTATGTGTGGCCAGTCTCCTGTTTTCAGTTCAAGCTTGGCAGAAGTGGGCACGGACCCGTCGTTGTCGCTGCGGAGACTGGCCACTGCACTTTAAAATCGCCCTAAACCCTAAGCCCTAGACCCTAAGCCTTAAACGCTCGGGTTTGGGCTTGAAGGCCTTCCTCTGCTGGGCTTGATCTTGGGATGTTTCAGGCGGTCGAGACGCTTCCCGGAGGGCTGAATTTCATGCGGCTTTGAGCTTTTGATGGTCTCCAAGAGAGGGGTGCACATGCTTTTTTATTTTTAATTTTTTTTTGTGTTATTTGGCGGTTGTTGATGTGTCTTGCTGAATAAGGGTTAGCGAAGTTCTGCAGGATTTCGCGCCTAGGGCCTTGCTGGCCGTGTAGGGTTCTTAGGAACTTCAGCGCAGGAGGTCGTTGGGTAGTTGGGGTTGAACCAAACCCTAAACCCTAAACCCTGAACCGTAAAACCCTAACGCCCTAAAGCCCTAAACTAAACCCTAAAACCCCAAAGCCCTAAACCCCAAACCCAAAACCCAAAACCCTGAGCCCTCGATCCACTCACTTTGGTTCAGGGGTTTCGAGGCTTGGAGTTTCGGCAGAAGGTTAGTTTTTTCTCATCCGCAGTGGCTCTCGTGGCGTGCTATGCAACTAACGATGGGTTTAGGGTTTAGGGGTTTAGGGGTTTAGGGTTTAGGATTTAGGGGTTTAGGGTGACCAAGGAGGTTCTCGCACAACGAGGCACAGGGGCTGAAGGCTAAGGAAGCTAGGGTGAAGGGTACCCAGAAAGCCCAATACCACATAATGGAGGAATATACCTTAAATTATAGGGGCCTTAATACTATGATTTAAGGTATATTCCTTAATCAAGGGGTATCGGGCCTCTGGGCAAGAGTTCAACCAGCTTCAACTC